CATGAAATTAAGATTTGCTACCTCTCTTTAAGAAAAAAAAAATAAGAAATGTATTTTATTTAGGGGGCGAGGTTATTCAAAGTTTTTTGAATAATTTAATGTTTAATAAACAATTCTCCTTCATAGCATACCCAGTTGTAAAAATGACAATTCAAATATTCAGGTCTTTAAAATCGCCTAAATGTATGCTCATCAATTCATCAGAGACATATGTGTTCCATCAATATCGATATTAAGATGGTGCCATCATGAAATTAAGTACAAGATTTGCTACCCCTCTTTAAGGGCAGACATGTCTATGTTCAACCGTTTCTAAATCAAGATGGCGTTATTCTCAAAACGAGTTTCTTGGAATTTTCACCACTTTTTGGAAAAATTCTACCTATCTTTTATCTCAAATTCACTCAAATAAATGTTTCTGATGAGGTCCATACATGTTTCAAATTTGATATAAAAGGTTCTTTATTAGACTGTATATCCTGTTTTAAGCTAATGAAACCTGGGACTCAATTGTCGTTCTATGAAAATGTGAAATGAAAATTTCTAAAATGAAGAAATGTCAAATGAAAAACATTATCAAGGAAATATTTTTCATTTCATGGAAGAAGAATCTAGACATGGTGAATCCGAAACTATCAACTACAAATTCAACAAAAACTTCAATATGAACTCTAATTTGATACAACTCAACCAGGACTACACTAAAATATAATAAAACCAAAAAACATGATGATGCCAACTTACTACAACTCTAAGCAACTATGAATCCTTACCTCGCTAGCATCCTCAATATTCCGTCTGATGTCATCTGCCCATTTTTTTGTACGTTGTAATTTATTGTTGGGTGGGGGACCTAAAAATTCATCTAATTAGGCATACGAAAATCTATATAGGGAGTATAGCAAAACAATAGTTTTATACTCACTTATTTTTTCGCCAACAAAATTTTACCATATTGTTGTCAAGGGGGGGATTGGGGCCCAATTTTGATTTGATTGTAGACATGCCAATGGTATGTGACAGCAGTAATGGTTTTAAAATATTGTCCACCCGAAATGTAAACAAAATCGTCCTGTTAAGGTCAAAACAATAGACAAGAATAGATGCTCTGCAAGAAAGGTAAATTTTTAATTTAATTTGTTTTTTTTTTTTTTAATTAAAAGAATAATAGAGTTGCAACTTTCCCCTTCGCAAATTGTGATCACATTATACGAATAATATATGTGATAGTTTCTAAGCACCAGTTTACGGATAAGACAATACCCTATGCCCACGCGTCATATTTTTTATGTTTAACATTTCTATTTCGCTCTAACCAAATATTAGATTATATTATTCAAAAAAATCTATTCACATTGAATGCATTACATAATGACAAGGGCGGATTCAATGTAATGATTGGCCTCATGGTAAAATTAAGTAGCTAAAATTATGTACCAAAGATCATTGTTGTGTATTAACCGCAAATCGGATAAAACATATATATGGGTGACATAGCTACATCTGAACCGATTTTGTAAGAGCTGTATACTAATCTGAACCGATCTCTATAAAATTTCGAGCTATATCTGAACCGATTTTACCAAATTTTTGGGCTTGCTTCTAGACTAAATTCGGTCGGATATGCCAAGTTCTGGTCATTTGGACTGATATTGGCCATTTGGTGCACAATTAGCCCGAAATCGGTTGTATATATATGGGACCTATATCCAAACCTGAACCTATCTTCACAAAATTTTTACACTAATTTTAGAGTTGTATCTGATTTTTGGTACCATAGATCATTGCTTGTGAGGGACTATAAACCCCAAATTGGATAAAACATATATATGGGAGGCATAGCTATATCGGAACCGATTTACTCCAAATTTGAAGCACAGTCCATTTGGGCTGATATTAGCCATTTGGTGCACAATAAACCCGATATTGGGTAAATCTATTGTAAGAGCTGTATCCTAATCTGAACCAATCTCAATAAAATTTGTCGGAGATATTTTCGAGCAGTATCTGATGTCCGGTACCAAGTATCATTCTTTTGGAGTGCATATTACACATGTTAGTGATTTAAACCCCCAAATCGGATGAAACATATACAGTATCGGCCAAATCATAAGCAACCCCTCAGTACTTTTTTTAAAATGCTAATTTTTTTAAGAAAACAAAATTTAAAACAATTTTTTTTATTTACTTATATCTTTATTATTGAAAAACAAGAACTATAGGAATTCAGAATTTATTAAAAAAAAGTTAGAAATCAAAAAATATTTTAAGTCGAAATTATAAGCGGACTAAACTAAAGCACCACCATTTTAAGGTGCAAAAAAAACGATTGAAATCAATATTTCGTTGCGAATCCTTTATTCTGGATGACACACGCCCATCTTTTAGGCATAATGTTTATTAAATTATTAATTATATCAGGTGATATGGCTTCCCAGGCTATTTTTGCGGCTTCAAATAAATGTTCTTTGGTTTTGCATTTTTCTCGGTTGATTGTTGAGTTAACGATCTCCCATAAGTTCTCGATTGGGTTAAGATCGGACAGGCCAAGGGAGAACTTTTATGAAATTGTTCTGAAACCACTCTTTAACCACTTTTGACGTGAGCTTGGGGTCGTTATCTTGCTGGAATGTCCATTGTAGTGGCATCTCTTCTTCAGCATAAGGCAACATCACGTCTTTTAATATGTCACGATACATGAAACGATCCATAATTCCATTAATCTTATGAATTGACTCAATCCCTTGCCCAGAGAAACAACCCCAAACCATTATGTTTCCGCCTCCATGCTTTACAGTACCTTTGCAATATTTAGGATTCAACCTTTGCCCATTTGGTCTGCGTACACGCCTTATACCATCTGAATCCTTTTAATTAAACTTAGATTCGTCAGAAAACAGCACAGTCCTCCATTTTTGGACACTCCAGCTGAGATGGGCCTTTGCGAATTCAAGTCTGGCTTTTCTATTTTTTGACGATATGAAAGGTTTTTTTGCTGGTCGTCGACTGAATAATCCGGCCTCTACCGCCCTTCTGCGAATCGTTCTTTAGCTAATTTTTAAATATAAGCGGCTTCGTATGTGACTAGAAGATGCTGTAGAATCATTTTGAATTGTCCTTTTGATTAAGGAGTCTTCCTGTCGCAAAGTTTCACATGGCCTTCCCCCAGAATGAGTAGGAGATGTGCGACCAGTCTGCAATTAATTAGCCTAGAAATAATTGATCTGTTGATCGTATATTTTGCACTCAATTGATGTCTTGATAAGCCGGCACTCCAATCATCAAGAATTCTAATTTTAAATTCACTTGAGTACTTATTGCGTGCCATTACTCTTATCTAAACGAAAACTTTAAAATAATAATAATTTTTTTACATAAGTTCTTCTTCTTAACACTGCAGCTTATTAGCTGCTGCATTTTTGGAGTGTACCGTTAACTAATACAGTAATGTCGCAGTAGCATAGTAAAATTTCCAAACACAATATTAGGGGGTGCTTTAGTTTAGTCCGCTTCCATTTGCGACTTAAAATATTTTTTTTTTAATTTTAACTTTTTTTATTAAATTCTGAATTCCTTAAGTTTGTGTTTTTCAATAACAAATATATAAATAATTAAAAAAATAAAAAAAAATTAATAACTTTGTTTTCTTAAAAATAGTATCATTTAAAAAACATGTACTGAGGGGGTGCTTAGGTTTTGACCGATCCTGTATATGGGAGCTATAGCTATATCTGCACCGATTTTCCCCAAATATATGTGCTTCTAGACTGAATTCGGTCGGAATTCAGGTCATTTGGACTGATATTGACCATTTGGTGCACAATTAACCGAAGTCGGTTGTGGATATGGGACCTATATCCAAATTTAATCCGATTATCACCAATTTCAAAGGGTTCGTCCTTGGTCCAAACAAATATTGTTTGCAAAATTTCATCTCAATCGGATGGACTGACGATCTGACAGGCATAAATCAACATAGAAAATGATTCTATGAAGATCCTCAAAAGCAACTATAGCAACAATCTCGCTTCCTACTCCCTGTTACAAAGAAATGCACAAAGACATAAGGGTGTAGGGTATAAAGAGGGGCCGAAATTGCCACATGTCGTGGTAAACATACACTAGTATAAGTCTGTTGTGCGCTCTAGACTAAAAGTTATTATTTTAGATCGTTTTGTGCAATATGGCTAAGGTTTGATTAGTTGTTCCCTAAGAATTGAGATCTGATATTTGCAAACTCTGTGTATTGACAGAGAAAATGCTCCAACGTTTCATCATCTTCCTCGCATGCGCTGCATATGCTGTTATTTACTATACATCCTAGATTGTACAAAAGAGCTATGTAGATCCAGTTGCCGGTTTTACCTCATTGGGATCTCTCCATAGAAATTTTGTAGTTTTTTTTTCCCATGACTTTAACTCTAGTCGTGACTTATTTACCAGCATTAGATTGTCCAAGTTTACGGTTGCTAATTCCCAGTCTGTTTTTTTTTTTTTTTTGGCGAAAAGTTCGCAATCTCGTTACCTCTAATCCCCGCGTGGTACCCGTAAAACGCGTACAGAGCCGTGTTGAGAATAGTTGTTGATTCAATTCATACATTCCAAGTTTTATCAACTCGGGGAGGTTTTCCTTAAGAAAATGTTAAAATGCACAGAATTTCCCCTTTCAATATAAAATTGGAAATTGACCTTTTGATAGAGCGGTAAAACTCTTCTCATTTTTTTTTCATACATAGATATATACAAAAATACAATATTCCTCTTGCAGATCCCAATTTTTCTTTTTCAACAGAATCTTTGAAGTATAATCGAATAGTGTCTTTATCTACCTTGACCTTTGCACCAACCCTTTTTATTTCATTTAATTTCAACTTTCTCGTCCATTGCCAAGTGTTTTTCATATAAGAATATATATCCATAATAGTTTGTTTTTTTTTTATTTTTTGTTTTTCTCAATGAAAAAAACAAAATACAATTTTTTATTGAATATTTCATATAGAGTTTTTGGTTTTGTTTTCGTTTCTATTCTGTTCTCTTCTGAAACAATAAAATGCGAGTTTTTTCTTCATCTGTTTAGTTAAGATTTCTCTGTTGTAGTTTCTTTATGTTTCAATTTGTTGCTGACAATGTTAATTTGCATAAATTTAAAATAAATTTTTGTTACACACATTTACTGTTTAATATTCTATAGAATAATAATTAATTGTAATCATCACCATAATAAGGAGAATGTATAATCATAATAATGAGAATAATAATATAATTTAATTTAATTATTTAATTGATAATAATATTTGTTGCTGTTGCATTTCATTTAAATAGAATTGATGTAATTGCAAAAAAAAAATATCTTCATAATTAAATTATTTATAAATGTATAATTATTATATATATTTTTGTGTTATGTTATGACATTCACTATATATCTTTATGTCTTCTATTATTTTAGCGCCATTCTTTTTTTGGTATTTCCATAAATCCTTAAAAATGGACTTTTGCAACTTTTGCATACTTTGTTGGTGTTGGAAAATGTTGTGTATAAATTTGTTTGTTGTTATGTTTATAAGTATGTATATATAGGAGAGGTTGGGGTTTCGGGGAAGATAGACTAGGTAACATGTCGCACATAAGGGATATTGAATTTGATGTCGTTTTTATTCCAGAAGAATGATGTTTCAAATCTCAAAAATCTAGAGAGGGAGGATCATAAGGCCATAGGTTGTCGTGGCTTAAGACGCAACGATGAGGTGTTCTCCGAATTAGAGTAAATGGTTGTTTATCATCTGAGAGATGAGATTTTAATTACAATAATATAATTTGGCAGCTGATCAAATGATCAGATCTAAATATTGCGAAAATACATTATTTTCTTTGACATTAAATCGTTCAAGTAGTCAATGAAGTTAACATAACTCTCTAGGGTGAAACTGAACAACGCTTAAATCGTGACTTCGGCGGGCAAATGCAACACTGTTGCCATTTTTGACTGAACGAAATACAATACTGCTGCTACCACATACAAGTGACAACAGTGTTGTACTTTCACGATTAAAGCTTGACCTGTTATGGTTAAGTCCTACAATTTGCAGCATATGGCTACACTGTCTATGATCATGTGGTCTAACGAATATGAAGTTGGCAATGCGAATTGCTCTCACAATATTTTTAAAATTGCAATTTGATATATATACTTTAGTTGTAAAAATAGTATATTTTGAAAATTATCGTAGTTATAGTTTATTAAAAAAAATATGTTTTTGTGTACTCTAGTCTAGAGGGTCATTTTGGAATATAGTTTTGTAATACTTAATTACTCTTACCTGATACTTTCCTAACTTGTTTACCACTACTGTGGAGGTTAGAAGTTGTTTTTTTATATAGAATTTTTTTTTTAATTGTTAATTATTTCCAAAAGAATATTCAAAAGTTAGACCATCACCGAAGTTTTAGTGGGAACTTAGTAGACATTTTTCACCGGTTAATTATAATAGAAATATATCCTGCTTTACTATTATTTGTGAGAATCGTGTAGAGTTTTGTGGCAATACAATCAGTTAAGTTAGTTAAGCAATTGTAGTTATTATTTAAACATTAAACTACTGGCGATGCCAAATTAAAAAGTTCCGCAATTAGAAATACCTATAAAGGCTGGGGAAATTTATTTGCCCATGACATTTTAGGGAAGGACTTTTATGTAAACCTTCGAACTCAATTGAACATTTTCTGTGCCTTTTTGGATCTTCAACGGTTCTTATTTGCTAATTTTCCTTAATTTAATTTTTCGATAGACTAGTAGTTGAGAACATTATTTAAATCTTTTATAAGTATTCACGATTAGAGGATTGGAAATCTCCGGAAAAATGTTGATGACAATACAACTATAAAATAGAAACTCTTCTAATTCGACTTGGCAGCTTCCGTTGAAACTGGGGCGGGGCTGAAATTTGAATAATTGAAATTGATTTCCAATCCTGTGACATTATTAACCGATGCACATTTCAGAATATTCAAACGATTTTTTGGTTAAATGATGAGGAATACAAAGAATTATAATTCTGATCTTTAGGTATGAATGGCGCCCAATTATAAATTCTACGGCTGAGCTTGCAGATATTTCAGCGGTTACGAAGCTAAAATTATACTGTGTTTATCTCGGATGCTTACCTTGTACCACACAGTTTTGCGTTAGATAACTTTTTGCATAATCACTCCTATAAATGGGAGTTCTATCATGCGAATTCCCATTCACAAAATAACATTTCGTGAAAATTCCCATTCACATTGATTTGCTATTACCAAATTAAGGAAATAAATAACATCAGCTGATATTTTCGAACATTCAATTATATTTCCTGATAACTGTGAAATTTTCCTTATTTGGCTGAAAGCCACAAGTGGTTATCGTTAGAGCACTCCAGCATTTAAATATGAATAAATCTTTTATGACTCATACCATCGCTCGTTACCGTGATACTGATAGCGTAGCGCGAAGTCAAGGAAGTGGACGGAAGAAAACAGCAACATCAGCAGAAACGGTTCGAAAAGTAAAGAAGCGACTTGATTGAAACCCGCGTCGCAGTGGCCGAAAAATGGCTCGTGAGCTGAACATATCGCAATGAGCTCGGGATAAGGCCATTGAAATTCCAAAAAGTGCAAGAACATACACCGCAACAGAAAGAAAATAGACTCAAAAGAGCTAAAGAGTTGCTTCGCTTGGCCGAAAGTGGTGAACTGCCGAATTTAGTTTTCTCCGATGAGAAAACATTCGTTGTCCAGCAGTTTGTAAACAACCAAAATGATCGTGTTTACTTCCAAAGAGGTCAGCTGAAATGTGCACCTTCGGTTGGCCACCAGAACTCAATCGCCGGCCATGGTGATGTTTCGTATTAATCGTCAGTGGCATCAGAATAAATGCCGAATATTATAGCGAAAAAACTCTGGAGGGTGTATTAAAGCCTTGGGCAAGCAAACATTTTGGCCGCAGACTTTGGACATTCCAACAGGACTCAGCACCATCGCACTCAGCACGCGCCACCCAAAAATTGTTACAAATTGCGGTTCCTCGCTACATTTCCAGAGCACAATTGACACAAAAATCTCCGTATACCAATCTGTTAGACTATTGTGTCTGGAGTATTTTGGAAAGCAGGGGTGTATTAAAGCCTTGGGCACGCAAACATTTTGGCCGCAGACCTTGGACATTCCAAGAGGACTCAGCACCATCACACTCAGCACGCCACCCAAGAATGGTTACAAAATGAGGTTCCTCGCTTCATTTACAGCGCACGATGGCCATCAAAATCTCCGAATACCAATCCGTTGGACTATTGAGTTTGAAGTATTTTTGAAGTTGGCACTAAAAAATACCAAAGTGTCGATCACCTCAAACAAGCGCTTCGCCGGGAATGAGTCAAAATACCGCAGAGCGACATTCGGGCAGCGTGTGACGGTTTCTTTTGTCTGTTTGAAGGTCATAATTCGTGCCAAAGGTGACCAATTCGAACAAATCTAAACTTATTCTATAATTTGATGCTATTTCCGACACTTTTCGCTTTCATTCAATAAAATTAAAAAAAAAGAGAAAAAATTATGGCGTTTGACTTTGTTGCAGTTTTTTATTGTAGACACAATCCATTTGTTCAAAAAGCATTTTGTCTAGGCTCTACCATTTTAGGTCTTTGTATGTACGCATATGTAGGTCGTGTTTGTATGCAACGATTTTACCAAATGGAAGTACCTTAAAAATAATATACAGGGTTGCCCATATTCGACGGACCCATGTTTTTTTTTTTTTTGCCATTTCGATGACTCTTTGGGCGCATTCCAATCGACGAGGCTTGTCCGCAGGGAACAAATGCAAATCAATGCGAATAATCCGTTGTAAAGTGGACCGAGCCATGCCCAACTGCTAAGAACGGCGTTTTTGGGATGTTCTTGGGGACCTCTCAACACTGTCTCGTACGGCAGCGTTATTCTCGGCCGATCGTCTTGGTCGACTTTTATATGGCCTCTTCGGATTAGAAAGAGCCTTACCTGTCGAACATTTTTCGTATAAACGCTTAATGGTGTTCTTAGAAGGCGCACTTCTCACATTTTTTAATGTTTTAAAAGCACGTTGAGTTTTCACAATTGACTTCTTCTGTTGAATGTAAATTTCAACTATTTCAGAGCGCTCGCGTGGCGTGTATTGATTCATGGTAAAAATCTGCTTGGACTGACGCTTCAAACGCGGTATGTCATTAAGCGATGTGACAATATAACACAAGAAAGTAATATACAATAATATACAATATAACACAAGAAAGTACAGAAAGATGGTGAAAATGTCAAAATATTATTGCCATCTTGTAAAAGTCATATGTGCTAAATCCATAGAAAAAATTGGGGCAGATTCTAGTGCGTTCTGCTACAGAACTATTGCCGGCGAAGCCTAAAAGTATGTATTGTTCTATTTGGGTAGAGCTTGGTTAGACTTTTAGCATTGATCCTTATGTTCATGATTTTGCAAGGCAATTTATAGTTTGTCAATCTATATCGCCTTTTAGTCGATGAAAAACTCTCGAAAGGCGATTTTAAGGCCGATTTGGCAATGATTTTATAGTCAATTGGTTGGTTCTTGGTTCCAATTCAAACGTGAAAAGTTTACTTTAAATAATAGTCAGTTTTTAAGAATAAGGCCTTCGTTCCACAAAAACTACTCTTTCCTGCTTGTTTTCAGACTCTTTCTAGATTAATTGCCTTTGGATTTATATGGAAGGAAGAACCATGTCTTCCAAACCCATAATTTATTTCATTTTGGATGTAGATACGCTATTGACAACTTTTTCTCACTCCAAATGTAATGGGTGAATATATGAATTGAGATTTACAGAAAATTTGCGCTCGTTTTCTTCTTTCATTTGGGAATTCAATAACAGATGGAGCCATAGATAAATTGCATCAAAACTCTTTTGAAATTCCCGTAGACTTTTGTATAATCAACAAACAAACAATTACAACCTCTGGCCCTTTTTAACCATTTCACATCTCCAGCGTTGTGAGATCTTCTTATCTTCTTTTTTGAAAAGGTGGTGTTGTTGTTTACTATTACTCTCTCTCTCTCTATGATAAGCTCTGTAGCACCAAACTAGTCTTAGGTGAATGAAATGTTTTTTTTCTTTATTTTATTTTGATGTGATGACAGTCTTTTAGATTTCTTTTAAAAATAATTTGAATTATTTCTCAATACCCTGTATGCCCTGCATGCTACGCCCCTGCCAATTGCCAGCACCTCCCTTAAATAAGTTGCGATTAAATAAAACTTTTGTTAAGTTTTGAGTTTTGTTTTTTGTTTAGGTTTCTCTTTATATATAAGTATGTATGTTTTTTTTTGTTCAATATATATAATAATAGAATTGTTTGTTAGCTTGGTTTTTTGTTTTGTATGGATAAATTGTTTTTAATAAAAGAAATATATTTTGTTGTTGTTGTTGCTATATGAATTTGACAATAAATTAGTATAAGTAGTTAATTAATTAAGTAATGCGACAATTAAACGGTTAAACATAAACATACATATGTATGGCTAATTAAAAAAGAGAATTCTACACACATACAAATATATTTTTGTGATTTTTTTTAGGTTTTTTGTTTTGTTTTTCTCTTGGTTTTTTGTTGTTGTTATATTAAAATTGTTTTTGGATTTTTCCATTCTTGCTTTGGTTTTTTTGGTTTATTTATTATTACTTCCTTTCTTTCAGTATTGTTTTTGAAGAATAATTAAACATTGATATAATAAAGTTTATGGTTAATTAATTATATTTTTCTTGTTGTTGTTTTTAAGTGTATGCTTGTTGTTTTCATTTGTAAGTAGAATAAATTGTGGTTTTCCTTCAATTAAATAAATAACTTGAAAAAAAATTAAAACTATGTTTACTAAGTTTTTGTTTGTCATAATGATTTTATTTTATTTATTTATTTTTATTTTTTTTTAAGAGAAAGAGAGTTAAATGTAAATAAACATAGACAATTAAAATATATATTTTGTTGTATTTAAGTTATAATTAAATGTAATATAATTAATTAATTAAGTAATAATAATTTAATAATAAATTTAATTTGCTCTACACAATGTGCGCGGTTTTTGAGAATTTTTGTTTCGGTTTGCATTTGTGTCTCGATTTTAGTATTGTTGTTATTGTTGTAGTTTTTTAAAGACATTTCATTATAAGGAGGTCTACTAGAATTTGTTTTAGTATAAAGTTTTCCATATTTATTTCGCATTTAAGTTAATTGGGTGGCTTGGTTTTTGTTTTTATTTAGGAAGGAGGTTTATTTGGTTTCCCGTCTTTTTTTGCTTGTCCTCTTTTACTTTTATAGCTCTACTCATGTGTATTGTATTTTTCATATGGGATGAATATGGAGTTATTTCGCTATCTCTTTTGCTTTGCGTATTTGAATTGTCTAAAAAGAGCATTTTATACTTTACTAAGTAACAAAGATTTTTCTTGTTGTTGTTGTTTTTGTTCTTGGTATTTTTATTAAATATTTTCGTAATGTGTGCATTTTCACAAAAAGAAAAAGGAAAAATTAGCGTATTATATAATTTATTTTAAAAATTAAAGAAAAAATTTGACTAGTATTTTTCGTTTTTTTAAATTGTACAACATGTATTGAGTATAAAGAAGTCAAAGCATAATTTTACGAAGTTTTGGTTTCTCTCAGACAGATATTCTAGAAAGCACGTAAACTCAAATAATTCGGTACTGAAAGTTAAACATTACAGACGATGCAAAGAAGTGTGGAAATGAAACGTCATCGCAAGTAATTTTTTTTTTTTTAGAATGACAGGGAATTAAAAGCAAATGTTATCAAAAGCTTGCTGGTAAGTCAAAAGCTTTTTCCAATACAACATACATTGATTAAGGAAATAGAGGTGGTTCAATGAAATTCTCTTATATATAGCATGAAGCAAAAGCTATCTTAATTTTGATTAAGAAGGAAATGTAGACCAGCCATCTTGCGAGATTATATTTTGTTAACCCATTAAGAGATTTAAACGCAACCCTAACCCAACGCTATTTTGGAGGTAATAGATATTGTGTGTTTAAATTTTTGTGGGCAAAATAAAACTGTCTCAATGCTGAGTTTATGTGGGGGTTGCTTTTCCACGTTCGGGGCCGGGCTAGCTAGACCATGAGCCGAAAAAAAAGAGATAATTTATAGAAAATTAAAATTCTGTTTTTCTTTATATTTTACGATTCCATTTAATTGTTTTTTTTTTTTTTAACATAAATGTTTGCCAAAATAATTTATAAAGCAAATGAATAAAAAATATTTGTATAAATTATGACTTAACACTGTTTTGTTCTTGTTCTTGAGAAGCAAAGATAAATTTGAATGGAAAGAGATATTTTTCTTGAGCATCTATGCATTAAATAAATAAATTTACCGATTGCCATCGCCACCAATTTTCTGAGTAATAATTTCTCACTCTCTCATATTAAAATTTGAAAGGAAGAGTAATGAGAACATTTTTTTACTACTCTCTGATATAAACCCAGTGCATAGAGTCAGCGCTACTCAAGAAAAAATATCTCTTTACAGTCAAATTTCTCTTTGATTATTTAAATCAAGAACAAAACAGAGTTAAGCCGTTATTTATACAAATATTTTTTATCCATTTGCATTATAAATTATTTTGCAATCATTCATGTTCAAAAACAATTAAATGGAATAGTAAAATAGAAAGATAAACAGAATTTTAACTTTGTGTTAAATTATCGTTTTTTTCGACTCATGTTCTAGAACACGGTTTTGAGCAGGGCTGGTAGAGTCTATGCACTGTGTTTATGGGAGAAAGAGAGTAGCGCTGCTTAAAAATCAGCCCTCGCTCAGCAGTCCAATTTCTCCTAGTTTATTAAAATCATCAAAAACTCCGTGTTAAGACATAATTTATATTTTTTTTGTAATAATTCACTTTGTCATTATTATTTTTCTCTTAAATAATCTCTTTTTTTGGACTCATGTGCTAGGACACGGTTTTGAGCAGTGTTGGCATAGACGAATGAATATACAGACAACGGAATGCTCCCACGGCTTATCGAAAATAATTCGAATCAGCAGATGTCATTTCAGGAGTATGAGTGCAAATATTAAAGTCACTCGAATCTAAAATGTTAAAAATATTAAACCAGTGCAATTCTAGGAAAACGATTAAATGTGGTTTCGACTTCGAGTAGCTCTACTTGCTGGTTTTTTCCTTCTGGCCATCTGGATATAAAGACAAAACCAGCATTCTGTTGTCTACGTATTCATTAGTCTATGCCAATGTTGAGCACGAAGGTGTTCTGGCGCAAGCGGCCAATTTCTCTTAGTTTTTGTTAAACAACCAATCAATCAAAGCCTATGTATTATTCAATTTACTCTTTAAAAAACAGGTCTAATAACTATTTTAGACAATATTCGTTTTAAAAAAAGTTGAAATATATTGTAAAATTTAATTTTCTCTTTATATTATTTTGCTCAGCTCTGGTCTATGCTCATTGCAGCTTTAATCAGCACTGCACAAATATGAGTCCGCAGAAGACACTGATTTGTTGATGATTTCTAAAACCAAAGAGAAATTGGCTGGTGAGCGGGGCCTTGTTCTCGACTGCTTTAATGCAACTCAAGCATTTGTTAACACATTCCATTTATTAACTCTCTCTCTCTCTCTCTCTCTCTCTATCTATCTATATATATATATATATGAAAGTTTTGAGGCGAATGATCTCTATGCTTCGGATCCAGATCAACGTTGTTCGAAAAAAAGCTCTCAACTAAAACTGGTCAAGCTTGAAACACCTACAATGATATGGTTTTAGGACATTTTTAGATCTTAACAAGGAACAATGGAAAAGCCCTTAAATGACCTAACCCATCAAGAGGAGGCCAAAGAAACGTTAATGTAAAATTTACTTCAGTCTTTTTCATCAAACCATTTGTTGTTCTATTTTATTTATAACCTTTGCCTTATTCAAAACCATTAATTTAGTTACTTATTTGTATATTTGTTTTTTTCTTTGTGGGAGTTACTCCTTGAGTTAACGTGCATTAAAATATCTGTCTTGTAATTTTGTTGTTGCTGTTGTTGTTACTCTTCGATGATTTAGTCGTCTTTTGGCCGACCACAACATTTATGCTTAAAATGTTATTTGCTGTTGTTGTAGTTGTTTTTGTTGCGTTTAGTTGCTGATGCTGCTGCTGTCGATGAGCTGCTTAAGCTGTTTTTGTTTTATTGGTCTTAAAGCTTACTTGCAAAACACGATTACCTAAAGTATAACCATTCAATGATTGTATAGCCACAACCGCTTCATCATAATTGGTCATAGTAACAAAGCCGAAACCTTTGCATTTGCTGGTCTGCAGGTCACGGATTACCTTAACCGATTGGACGGCACCGAATGGGCCAAACAATTGCCACAAGACGTTCTCCTCGGTTTCGGGTGCCAAATTATAGACGAATATACACCAACCGGAACCCGTTATAGCATTACCCGGCAATATGGAGTTGGCCAAGAGATCACCAGCCAATGGAGAATACCTAAATTAGTTAAATGTGGTAGGAAAGAAAAGAATTGAACAAAATATATTTATATTAATTATAGAAAAATAAATGTTACGTATTTTTTATATTATTTTGGGACAAAAGTAATACACAAAACTTTTAATAATTTGTTTCCGCTTAGAGCTTATTAAAAGTTTCGTAATTTCTACATTTATTTGGGTTTCTCTAAAAAATGCTTTCTTATACTAAGAAGTTTTTTGTCAGTATTTTTTTTTTATTTATTTTTGCTGCATGCTAACGTGTAGAAGTGAGAGACAGAGGTCAAAGGGAATTGCATCTACAATTCTAAAGGGGTATTCACATCAAAATCAAAAATAATTAAATCGAATTTATAATGTGAGCCTCCAACAGCAGCCCTTCTAGATTCTGGTAAAAATCTTTGTCTATATTATAGAGGTTGAGATGAAAAAACTGCAACCACCTTCAGACTACTTTCATTTCTAAGCCACTCGTTCGACAGCTGTTAAAATATCCCAGTGACAGCTCATTATATTGTTTACATTATATTGTTTACAAAAGCATTTTGGTGAGAATTTTCAAAAAAAAAGTTATTCGTGATGGAATTCAAGTGTGATTTTTTTTATATTGGCGAGAAAACCACAGGTGGCTATCGTTAGAGCACTCCAGCATTTAAAAGTGAATAAATCTTTTGTGTCTCGTACCATCGCTCGTTACCGTGATACTGGCACTGGTAGCTTAGGCCGACGCAAGGAAGTGGACGGAAGAAAACAGCAACATCAGCAGAAATGGTTCGAAAAGTGAAGAAGCGACTTGATCGAAACCGTGTCACAGTGGCCGAAAAATGGCTCGTGAGCTGAACATATCGCAATATTCCATTCGGAAAATAATGAAAAATGATCTTACCGCAGCATAAAGAAAATAGTCTTAAAAGAGCTAAAGAATTGCTTCGCTTGGCCCAAAGTGGTGAGCTGCCGAAGTAGTTTTTCTCCGATGAGAAAACATTTGTTGTCCAGCAGTTTGTAAACAAACAAAACGATCGTGTTTATTTGCCAAAGAGGTCAGCCGAAAATTTGCATCTTCGGTTGACCACCAGAACTAAAGCGGCGACCATGGTGATGGTGTGGGACGATATAAATGCCGATGGTCGCTCTCCGCTCGTATTAATCGACCGTGGCATCAGAATAAATGCCGAATATTATGGCGAAAATATTCTGGAGTGTTTATTAAATTCTTGGGCACGAAAACATTTCGGCCGCAGACCTTGGACATTCCAGCAGCACCAACGCACTCAGCACGCGCCACCCAATTATAGTTACGAAATGAGGTTCCTCGCTTCATTTCCAACGCTCAATGGCCACCAAAAATCCGTTGGACTATTGTGTCTGGAGTAAAAAATACCAGTGTGTCGATTCGCCGGGAATGGGCCAAAATACCGCAGGGCAATATTCGGGCAGCGTGTGACGGTTTCATTGGCCATTTGAAGGCCATAATTCGTGCCAAAGGTGACCAATTCGAACAAATCTAAACTTATTCTTAAATTTGATGCTGTTTCCGACATTTTGGCCTTCATTCAATAAAGTTTAACAAGTAAAAAAGCTGTAAGTTCGGACGGGCCGAACTTTTAATACCCTTCACCATTTGGAACAAATTTGGCAATTTCCAAAAAATAAAATCCGTTAAAAATTCTGTTAAAATCTTAAAAATACCGAATGCTTATACAACGACGTGGGCCTGCTTAGGCAACTTTTGTAACAAGTTATTACAATATTTAAATGCGAAACTTGAAGAAAAATCTGTTTATAATGTAACTAAAATCATCAAAATACCGAATATGGGGGTACCGTTATATGGGGGCTATACGAAGACGTGGACCTGCACAGACAATTTTCTGGCATGGGCTGAAGTATCCATTACGAACTCCACATGCGAAATTTGAAACAATCCCGATAAATAATGTCGCTAAAATCATCAAAATACCGGGGGGTACGGTATATGGGGACTATATGAAGACGTGGATCTATATGGCCCATTTTCTGTTTTATGCTGCAGTATCTATTACGAACATCAAATATCAAATTTGGAACGATTCCGCAAAATAATGTCGCTAAAAACATCAAAATACCGAATAAAGGGGGATACCGTTATATGGGGGCTATATGAAGACGTGAACCTACATGGCTCATTTTTTGACTTATAATGTAATATCCATTACGAACATCAAATGCCAAATTTGAAACAATTCCGGTGAATAATGTCGGTAAAATCATCAAAATACCGAATATCGGGAGGTACCGTTATATGGGGGCTATATGATAACTTGGAACTACATGGCCCATTTACAAACTTAACCTGCCTACTGGCAAAATATACATGCGTGCAAAATTTTAGCCTTCTATCTCAATTTGTTCGAAAGATAGCGTGATTATAACAGGCAGACAGACAGACAGACAGAAAGAGATACTTTGTTGGGTCTGACATGAGTATTTCGAGGAGTTACAAACGGAATGACAAAATTAATATACCCTCCATAGTATGGTGGAGGGGATAAAATTGTTAAAAATTATGGCGTTTGACTTTGTTACAGTTTTTTTTTTTCTCATCCTGTATATACTTTTTGGTGTCTGTAATGTATATTTCGAGGCGTTACAAACGAAATGAAGAACTTGATATGCCCTCCATACTATGGTTTGTTGCGAGATATTTGCATGGTTGTCTTTTAATCAATTTGTAGATGTTGTATACATGATTGATTGTATGCCCCCTCCATGGTTTGGTGTGTGATGTGCATGCTAATCCCGTGATAAGGAGAGATGGGACCATCGGTCGGTAAGGGGGTTACACAAAATCTTTATCCGGGTTTATTTTGATAAATACCAATCACAATACGCCTTATTAATCGAATAAAGTATGTAGAGGCGCTATTACTCTCTGAGGAAATTGTTGCTGAACAATTCCTTCACATAAAGTAGCCAGTATTTTTTATACATGTCATAGTCCTAACTGTACGCCAGAAAATGTCAACAACTCTATTCCAATGAAAAAAAAATTGCAATTATATTTGTGCTAAATGTGAATACCCCTAATATCGAATTAATTAGGAATTATATAAAACTGAAAACAAATGTTCCCCTTGACCTATAAGTGATTGTGATAGATGTTTACAAAAGACACAAAATGACGGTTGATTATGGTTTTATTAAAATTTAAATAAAAAAAAAATATTTAATAAAAAAAAAAACATAAATTTGTTACATTTAAAACTTAATTTTTTTACAGAAGGAAATAACAAATCATAGCAAAAATATCAACATCGAAACACATTAAAAATCGATAACAAAAATTAAAAACACATCTCAAGAAAGAAAAATCATCGGAAGAATAAAGAACCAAACAAGGAAAATCACTACAATTGAAACGTTGCCAAAAACAAATTGTATGCCAAAACTTTAGTTGCTTTTTTGGTAATAATAATTTTAGTTTTTTTTTTTTTTTTTTTTTTTTTTGATAATTTTTTTTTCAGAACAAATAAAACAATAAATAACAAAATGAATTCACCTTTGTAAACCCTTGTTAATGGCAAACAGGGGGCTTTTTCCAATGCTAAATTTATAAAAATCAATGTGGCCAACACACAAAAACAATAATCGAAACGAAAAAATTTAGAAAAAGAATAGAAAGAAAAACATTTTGAAAAATATAAAAAATACACAAAAATTCATTTTAATATTAGTAAAATAGTTTTTGTTAGAGAAAAATATGTAGTTGTTGTTGTTTTATTGGTAAATAATATGTAAATAGATCTTGAGAATAAATTTTCTTTTAGTGTAAAACCAAAAATTATGTGAAAATGCTTGAAAGAAATTAAAAATAAAAAAATTTAAGAAATTTGTTAGTTTTTGGAGAACGGTTAGTGGTGGATACGTGGTGTAAGGGAATACTGGGGTTTATCCGCCAAAACTTGTGTCCAAAGTTTTGATGTTTGGGTTTATTTTCTTCTAAAGTAAAGTTGGAGTACTTTGGGAATGGTACAAGGGGAAGTGTGATCCCTTTTCGGGGGGAAAAGAGCTAAATTGTTTGACAATATCCCTGGGAAAATGTTTACCCTAAAGCATGCCTAATCTTTATCTTGCTCGAAAAAAAATCAGATGATTTTCAAATATTTTCCATTTGATATTTATTACATACCTTATGCGGCCAGCCGATGGCAAAGCTCCGGCAGTCAGACGTCTAGTCGCAGCAGCTGCCTGTGGTGTCAGATAAGCAGCCAACGGTGGTGGGATTTGAGCTTTGGCGCTATTGCTTGGATTGTTGGCAAATTTAACAGTTATTGGTTCCGTATAACCCTTGGGTGTCTTGCCGTTGAGTTCTTGAATTGCACGTTCGGCTTCGTTGCGTTGATCGAAACGTATAAAGCCAACACCTTTCGAGAGACCTGAAAAGTTACACATGAAATTATTTATATGAAATTATAGTTATTTTTTGGAAAACAAACAAAAAACAAAGAAACAAAGAAAACAAAAACGAAAACATACCTATGCCATTTAATAAAAGTTTTTTGATAACTTCAATGTCTAAAATTAAAATAAAAATAAACAATAAATAATGGAAAAAATAAATTAAATTGAAAACGCAAAAAAGCTACTCAAGAATAATAAATGCGTTTTGCATGTGTACACTAAGGCCCAGATTTGCGTCGTTGTCATTGCTATTTGAAAACTGAACACATTTTTCCTTTTTTGGAAAGAATAATAGCAAAATATTTACTTTTAGACCAAAAGGTCTTCAAAAATGAAGATTACCAAAGAGGATATCAGTTAAACCAAAACTGTTTCAACAACTTCATATGTAATCCCTAGCAAAAAAATTGTGACTTCAATATCAAATTTCAGCTCTATCCCTGCACCCAATACCAAATTTGGTAATATTTAACACGCATATCAAGACCAATCTATATTTCCACATTTTAGACACCAGCAGTGATCAAAAATTAGAACTATTTACAAAGTGGTTTTACAAAACCACCACCAGATCTTAACACCAGATACCAACAAAAGACCTTAATAAAAAATTTAAGGTTTTCAGCTCTATTCCTTTAGCAAATACCAAATTTAGTACTATTTGGAACTTTTCGTACAATTGTTACACATATTTCTCAAACCATCTCCATATGTCAAATCCACATACCGTCAGAGACTTAAATATCAAATTTGAGGATTACAGCTCTATCCCTTCACCCAAAACCAAATTTGGTACTATATAGTACTTTTCGTACAATTATTGTACACATTTCCAAAACCACCTCCATATCTTATTTTCAGATACCAACAGAGGCTTTAATATCAAATTTGAGGATTTCAGCCCTATTTCTTCGCCCAATACCAAATTTAGTATCATTTAGTACTTTTTGTACAAATTTTGGACGCATTTCCAAAACACCACCAGATACCATCAGTAATCTAAATAGCAAATTTTAGAATATTATCCCTATCCCTTCACACAATACCAGATACAGTACCATTCAGTACTTTACGTACAATTATAGTACACATTTCCAAATCCACCTCCATCGACAGCGATCCTAACAACAAATTTCAGATTTCAAATACTATTTGTTCACCAAATACTAAGTTGTACCAAATATGGTACGATCATCAGGAACTTCTGTAGAACCTCAATACCAAATTTCAAAATTCCAGCTTCATCCGTTCACCCTAAACCAAACTGTTTCAAATTTAGTACCATTTAGTACAGTTCGCAAACTTATTACACATTTCCAAAACAACCTTCGTATATATCAGACTTACATTCCAACCTTGATTCTCAATCTAAATTTCAAGTTTTCAGCTCTCTCCGTTCAAACAAAACCACATGGTACCATTTAGAAAGCTCAGTATCATTATAGATCTTTTTGTAAACTTTAAATTCGAATTTCTAAAGACCCTTTGCTACATCTATCCTGCACTCCATCAGTGACTCATTCTAAATGTCTGGCTCATCTCGTTTTTTCCAATACAAAGTATATAAGTTTTAGTACTGTTCGTCTTCTTTTGGTAGGATTTTCCAAAAACGCAGCCTTATCACGCTCATACGAATCAAGATTGACCCTCCTACAAAATTACAAGATTATCCAGTCAGTCATTTTTTGGTAGCGCTTAAAAGTATGCTTCAGATGTTAATCACGAGTTAAAAGAGCAATTCGGAATATTGAGTGAATATCAATTTGCGCGATAAAAGTTTCGAATTTTGTTATGCTGATTTTAATACCCTCCTTCTTGGAAAGGAGGGTATATTAACTTTGTCATTGCGTTTGTAACATCCCTAAATAATCGTCGTAGACCCCATAAAGTATATATATTCGTAATCAGCATAAAATTCTAAGTCGATTTATCGATGTCCGTCTGTCTGTTGAAATCACGATGCAGCCCACATTTTTTTTGACGTAGAGCGTCAAAATTTAGCAGAACAATTTGTATTGTGTCTAGGCTGGTTGGTATTGAAAACGAGATATATCAGTCCACGTTTTGGTATGGTCCCCATATAATGGTACCTCCCGATACTCGGTATTTTTATAATTTTTGAGACATTTTTTCATGGATTGTCTGAAAATAGGTATTAGTTCGTGTTCGTGTGGCGAAACACTGTATGTATAGGTCCACGCTTTGGTATAGCCCCCATATAATGGTACTTCCCGATGTTTTGATTGTTTTTGTCACATTTTTTTCCCGGATTTGTCAAATTGTAGGTATTTGTAGGTCATAATGGGTCCTAGTTCGTGTGACGATACATTGTATGTATAGGTCCACGTTTTGTTAAGCTCCCATAAAACGGTACCTCCAGATATTCTTTATTTTGATAATTTTTGCCACATTTCTTCGCGGATTTGTCTAAAAATTGGTATTTGTGGATTCTAATGGGTTGTAGCTCCGTGGGCGAAACATTGAATGTATAGGTCCACGTTTTTGTATAGCCCCATATAGCGGTCCCTCCCGATATTCGGTATTTTGATGATTTTTGCCACGAATATGTCTAAGAATTGGTATTTGTGGGTTATAATAGGTTCTAATGTTTCCTTTACCCTAAGGTGGAGGGTGTTAAAAGTTCAGCCCAGCTGAACTTAATGTTTTTTAGTTCTTGGTTTGTAAATTCTCCTCTTAGCATGGGCGTAATCTTAAATATTGCAAGCGGTATTGTGATTTTAACAGACGGGCATGGCAAAATCTACATGGGGTTCTACCCTCACCGAAACTATGTGGCATCTCCGCTGAATATTAAGAGTCGTTACGAAACGGAAAAACAAATTGAATATTCCCTTAATCGTTTGGCGGAGATTAAAACTAAAATATAAAATCACATTCCGCTTGATAGAAAATTTAAAACAAAATAAAAAAATAATTTTAAATCGAAAATAATTCGGAATACGGTAATTCTCATCTACTTACCGGATATATTATCACAGAGTATACGAGATGTTATTATCTTGCCATATGGTGCAAACAACGCCTCCAAGTCTGGCTGTGATAGGTTTTTGGGAAGACCCGATACATATAGGTTAGCACCCTTGATTGACTCCGAACTTGGACGGGCATATGAGACTTTGATGACCTTATTCTGCAAACGTAGACCGTTCAGGGTGTTGACAGCCTTCTCGGCATCCTCTGGCCGAACATAGTTGACAAAACCATAGCCCAGACTTTGACCTGCAAGCGGAAGGACTTTTTTATATTAAAAATAGAGAATGCGAATATAAAATCAAGTAACTTACCTTGCTGCAAGGCTGGATTCAAGGCCTGCAACGAAGCTGGCAGCACTGAAAAGGCAACAATGAAACAAAATTGGAATGAATACCACGATCTGAGGATGGTTTCTTTGGAAAAACTCACCGGAAATTTTATCGCGCACTAATTTGCAACTCTCCAGCTCGCCAATGCTCGAGAAGAGGGAACGCATTTCCTCCTGCGTCATGGTTTGCGGCAAGTAGTTCACAATCAAGTTGGTGCGAGATTCATCGTTGCCATCGACAGACCCATTGGTGCTGCCGTTTTTGATAACAATGTCCATGGCATTGGTCATTTTGTTGGTGTTGGTGGTGGTTTGTTGCTGTTGGAGAGTAATTTTGAAAGATTTCCTTCGAACCGGGGGGGCGATGAGAGAAAACTGGCTCCTGTGATGGCCTTAGGCTTTATGTGAGCCCGTCCACGCAAACTTGAAGTCAAACTTGAAGCTTTTCGTTTTCTGTTCTCTGAAGATCAGTGCTTAGCACAAGTTGTGGTTGTTGTTGTTTTAATTCTTGTTAAGTTTATAAGAAATGTGGTTTTTGTTTTTTATTTAAAAAAGCGTAGTTCTGTTCTATGTTGTTTTGAAATTTCACGGTAATTTTGTTGGTTGGAGTTTGGAGTTTTAGATCTTTGTATGGATCATCAATTTATAAGAGTTGTTGTTTGGTAATTTATTTAAAATTGTTTAAATTTTTAGTTGTTGTTATAATAATAAAAAGTTAAAAGAGTAAATTTTGCTAATGATTTTGTTTTTTTGGATTTTCCTTTAGTTGTTTGGTTTTGGTGAAATGGGTGAAAAGTTTGTTTTTGGAATGATTTATTTTTTCTGTTGTTGTTGTTGTTTTATAAAATTGCAAAAATGCAAAAAAGTTTTTTTTTTTGGTTTTTTTGGTTTAGCGTAAATTTGGTTTTCTTTTATTTGACTATAATTATTTAAATTTTATAAATTGTTTTTTGTTGTTACTGTTGTTGTATTTCAATATGGAACATTTGGTTGATTTATACTCAAAAAATCTTTAAATCCTTAAATCCTTTTTGAGTCTCTATTAAAGTGTATAAATGATTATTTTGTTGTTTGTTTTCCTTAAAATTTTCTGGTTGTTGTTGTGGTTGGTTGTTGTCAATTCGTTATATATTTTTGTTGTTGTTGTTGTTTTAAATTAGCTCTGTAATAGTTGGTTTTCTTTGGTGGTGTTGATTTGCAAGATTACTTTCTTTCTTGATTTTTTGTTTGTTTGTTTGTTTTTCTTGGAATTTTCTTGATTTTTGTTTTTGTTTTTTTTTGGAATAATATAAAATATCTGTATTTTTCACTTGGTGTACAATTAATAGCTGCTCGATTGCTTACTCAATTTGTATAAATTTCATTTAGTTTTATATCAAATCTGTAACGAGAGGCAAGTTAAAAAATATACATTAGTGTTGTGTTTTGATTGGAGTGGAAAATAGTACACATTAGTTACAATTTTATTGAAATGCGGTACACTTATACGTACTAAGCTATATAACTCTTAACAAGCTCAATAAAAATCTTTGATGGTGTTCAAAATGTAAGCTTGCCGTTTTTAAGAGAACTTAATAACTTCCTTTCAAAAATTGTGTTAGCGGAAATATTTTGAAGAGAATCGGATGCCTATTTTTATACCCTCCACCTTGGAAAGGAGGGTATATTAACTTTGTCATTCCGTTTGTAACATCCTTAAATATTCGTCGAAGACCAAATAAAGTATATATATTCATAATCAGCATACAATTCTAAGTCGATTTAACGATGTCCGTCTGTCTGTCTGTCCGTCTGTTGAAATCACGATACAGCCCACATTATTTGACGTAGAGCGCCAAAATTTAGCAGAGCAATTTGTATTGTGCCTAGGATGGTTGGTATTGAAAATGAGATATATCGGTCCACGTTCTGGTACAGTCCACATATAACGGTACCTCCCGATATTCGGTATTTTGATGATTTATGCCACATTTTTTCACGGATTTGTCTATAAATTGGTATTCGTTGGTCATTATGGGTTCCAGCTCCGGAGGCGAAACATTGCATGTATGGGTCCATGATTTGGCATAGCCCCAATTTAACAGTACCTCCCGATATTCGGTATTTTGATGGTTTTTGCCACATTTCTTCACTAATTTTTCTAAAAATTGGCATTTGTTGGTCATTATGGGTTCCATCTCCGGTGGCGAAACATTACATGTATGGGTCCATGATTTGATATAGCCCCCATATAACGCTACCTCCCGATATTCGGTATTTTGATGGTTTTTGCCACATTTCTTAACTAATTGGTCTAAAAATTGGTATTTGTGGGTTCTAGTTCGTGTGGCGAAACATTGAATGTATAGGCCCACGTTTTGATAATAATATAACGGTACCTCTCAACATTCGGTATTTTTATGACTTTTGGCACATTTTTTCAAGAATTTCTCTGAAAATTGGTAGTTGTAGATCATAATGGGTCCTAGTTCGTGTGGCGAGTCATTGTAATTATAGGTCCATGTTTTGGTATAGCCCCCATATAACGGTACCTCCCGATATTCGGTAGTTTGATGATTTTTGCCACATTTTTTCACGGATTTGTCTGAAAATTGGTATTTCTAGTTCATAATGGGTTCTAGCTCCTTTGGCAAAACATAGTATGTGTAGGTCCAGACCTTGTGTTAGTAGAAATATTGGGATGTGCGAAATCTGAAGAGAGACGGATGCGTATTGCACATTTTGTGGACTTCTAAATGGTACCCTCTGGTATTATTTAAACGGACAGAACTAAAAACTTGAAATTTAGCATGAGATTCATGAGAATCAATTAAGCTTGATATATGAAGGCAGTTTTGGAAATGTGTAATAATTTTGCGAATTGTACTAAATTTGGAACAGTTTGATTTAGGGTGAACGCATGAAGCTGGAATTTTTAAATTTTGTTTTGGGGTTCTTCAGGAGTTCCTTATGATCGTACTATATTCGGAACAACTTAGTATTTGGTGAATAAATAGTGTTTGAAATCTGAAATTTGTTGTTAGGGTCGCTGTCCATGAAGGTGGATATGGAAATGTGTGCTATAATTGTACGAAAAGTACCAAATGGTACTGTATTTGGTATTGTGTGAAGAGATAGAGATAATATTCTGAAATTTGATATTAAGATTACTGATGGTATCTGTGTTTGAGATTTGGTGGTGGTTTGTAAATACGTCTAATATTTGTACAAAAAGTACTAAATGATACTAAATTTGGTATTGGGTGGAGGTATAGAGCTAGAATCCCGAAATTTGATATTGAGGTCTCTGTCGGTATGTGGAATTGAGATTGAGATAATTCCAAAACCACCTGGAATTGTACGCATTTCCATTGTACGAAAAGAATATTATATAGTACTAAATTTGGTTTTGGGTAAAGGGATAGAACTGTAATCCTCAAATTCGACATTAAAGTCTCTGTCGATATGTAGAATTGAGATATAGTGGTGATTTAAGAAATATGTACAATAATTGTACGAAAAGTGCTAAATAGTACTAAATTTGGTATTGAGTGAAGAAATAGAGCTGAAATCCTGAAATTTTATATTGAGTTCTCTGTTGGTATCTGGTGTTAAGATCTAATGGTGGTTTTCGAAATAAATAGTTCCAATTTTGGATCACTGTTGGTGTCTAAATTGGAGAAATGTAGATTGGTCTTGAGCTGCGTATTAAATGTTACCAAATTTGGTATTGGATGAAGGAATTGAACTGAAATCGTGAAATTTAATATTGAGGTCACTTTTGTTTTCTAGGGTTTACATAGATATGCGATATTTAAAGGTAGTCGGTCTTCTATTTTACATTTTGTAAAATTTATAATTATTCAAAATTTTAACTCTTTGTGGAGGAGGTGTTCGACTCGAAGTAGTGATATAAATATTCGGATTTTCAAAGCTTGAACCAAATTAAGTTCGGCCGGGTCGAGGTCGGGCTGTTATATAGGAGCTATACCAAAACGTGGACCTGCAAAGACAATTTTCTGTCTTAGGTATACCACTGTTTGAACTTCTAATAACAAATTTGAAAAAAAAATCCGGTGAATAATGATGCTAAAATCATCAAAATATCGATATCGAAAGGTACCGTTATATTTTTCTGCTATAGGCTGTAGTATCCATTACGAACTTCAAATACCAAATTTGAAACAATTGCGATGAATAGTGTCGTCAAAATTAACAAAATACCGAATGTTGGGAGGAGCCGTTATATGGGGGCTATACGAAGACCTGGACCTGCACAGACAATTTTCTGTCTTAGGCTGTAGTATCTATTATGAACTTCAAATACCAAATTTGAAACAATTCCAGTGAATAAAGTCGCTTAAATCATCAAAATACCGAATATCGGGAGTTGCCTTTATATGGGGACTATACGAAGACATGGACCTGCATACAAATATATTTGGCATAGGCTATAGTACCTATTACGAAGTTCAAATAGGAAATTTGAAATAATTTCTTCCGAATATCGGAAGGTGCCGTTATATGGGGGGCTATGCTACGAAAACGTGGACCGACATAGCCCATTTAAGAACTTAACCTGTATACTGGTAAACTATGCAAAATTTTAGCCTTCTATCTCAATTCGTTCAAAAAATATCGTGATTATAACAGACGGGCAGACAGGCGGCCATCGCTAGATCGTCTTAAAATTTTACGCTGATCCAGAATATATGTACTTTGTAGGGTCTATTAAAAATATTTCGAGGAGTTAGAAACTGAATGACAAAGTTAATATACCCTCCATAGAATGGTGGAGGGTATAAAAATAAATTACTAACGTCCCATAATGTCATATACTCGCATATTATACGTTTTCAGTTCAATGACCTCTATCATGTGTTTCAGATGAATACAATTTCTCTCTGTCTCTCTCTCTCTCATACACATCCATTCACATTTGGCTTTTCCAACCAAAAGTGTCATAGAAAACAACCCTTGGTTTTTCCAACTGCAGTGCTGCGTGGTAAGGAAGTGCATTAAAACTTGCTTTTGTTCGGGGTAAAAGAAAATCCGCATAGACTGCCTTACATTCCAATGGGTTCTTTTTTTATCAGTACAATTGTTGTTTGTGACAGGACCTTAATGACATTAGCTGTGTTGATCTGGGGGTTGCCTATCATTTGGAGAGATATCACAGTGGTAGAAAAAAATCCACATTAAAAGTTTGTGTGTGTATGTATATTAATGTATCGCATGTCTGTATGTTAGGCCAATTCAACATATATGTTTAGATTTGGCTTTATTTGGAATTTTCTGGAAATAAAAAAAATGTTTCGGGGTGTCATTTTTCCACCCTTAACAACGAAAAGATTTTTTCCGTAAGAAATGTGGAATTTACTTCTTCTTTGGAGAAAATGACAGTAAAAAGACTGCAGATCCTTTACATTAGACATACATTTCCACGTTTTAGAAAAAAAAAAACTATTTAGTAAATGTCATAACACCTACAAGTTCATCTATGAGATTTTGAACAATTTTACAGTGTTAAGGATAAGTATTAACCTTTAAAAAGTATATCACCTTTCAAGTATTAAAACTCAAATTTTTCGCTAAGCAATTTTCAATATTCAACCTACATTTATCCTGTACGAAACACACACCCACTCTTCTACAAAAACACAAATACCAGAAACCTAAAACTGGGTGTTGTTCATCATCATAAAAGAAGGAAAGACATGAGAAAAGGGAGACGGCAAAAAAATGTGACTCGAAATAGAAAGAAGACACACATTTTCTTTCTTGCTTGTGTCTAATTTGTTTGTAGCAAAATAAAACAGGGAGACAAAAAATAAAGCAAAACACAAGTCTAGAAAAGCCCACGTTAATACATTGTATATTCTCTCTGTGAGTGTGTGTGAGAAAGTTGGAAAAACAAGGATATGTTAATGATGATGAAGAGGACAAGTTGACAGTTACAGTGTCGGCGTTTGTCAGCCGCGCCACATTTAAAGAGTCAGATAAGGTTTTGTCATCTATGAAAATAGATGATACCCACCAACACCAAGAAGATAACTGCACACACACACACACACTCACGGATATACAGCTCAAAGCAATTTATTCAGGCATTTTTCTTATTAATGTGACATTTATCTATATACATATATAATAATATTGTTTGTGTGTGTGTTGGTTTGTTTCTTAGGGTGGGAATTGTAATTAAGAAATGCATGAGAGTAGACAGTGGAAAACGGAATGAATATTTTGGAAAAATAAATAAGGAAAATACATTTAACATTTTTCTAATGATAAACTTCGTTAAAATTAGTTTTTAGTGTTCCATCCACATTCTCCGATCAAAAATGAGCATTTCTTAAAATGTTAACGTCGGTCGTAGTATTGGTACTATTTTGTCGTAGT